AACGTACGGAACTACCCCCCCCACCTTTCCCCAACCTATCTACAATGAATTTCAACCAGAACGGTAGTGCCTAGGGGGTGGGGGCGCCTACTACTACTACTACTACTACTACTACCACGACCACGACCGCGACCACGACCACGACTATTACTATTTCCTTATTATCACTACCACTACCACTACCACGACGACGACAACGACGACCACTACTACTATTACTACTACAGGACAGGTTCTATCAGCAGTAGTGCCACTGTTAGTACCAGTGCCCGTACTATAGTACTGGTAACATGCAACAATGACCTTAATAATAGCGCATATTTGTAATCAAGGCAAAATAGTTTCAATGGCAAGCTACCTTCCGCTACCCTTTGGCTCCAGCCATGGCAAGTCCACGAGCTAGGCCGGACTCTTTCCAGATTTAACATTAAAAGGTGCTATGTAGGGGATATATTGGGATAGTGGAAAAGAAAAATGGAAATTACTATTGAGGGTTTAGGGTTGAGGTGTATGGCTAAGCTTTTGCAAGTTAGATGATGCCTGCTGGCGCATGTCAGCTGTGGGTAAGGCAGGTCTACTACCGCATGCAACCACAAGACAGTGTCAGTACAGCAGGCCACCTTCAAGTTCTCCGCATGTCCATGATGCACATTCATTGCGACGGGCTACAATTATAGCGTACTTAGAAGCATGATGCGGATCCTTGCATGTACGGCTTTCTTGCTGGCAGCGGACATTGCTTGTGCCACCCCGGAATTTTCAAGCGAGAGTGCTCTCCTGAAGGGCTTGGAAGATCCGTCTGCAGAGTCCGCTATACTGTCAAACAGTCTACAGTGGATGCGGACATGTACAACGAACAGCTGGTGGAAGGCTGCCAGAGCGATCGTGGTGCGCACCCGTGCTCAAAAGCCCGAGAGCAGTTCCGCCAACGCCATGGCTTCCTTGACTGCCGAGGTTCGTGCATTGGTTAAAGATGTAAAGCAGCAGGCAGATCAGTTTGCCACGTATGCGGATGAGACGTTCCGTGGACATACCCAGGGCTTGGATGACGTACCGTGCGCGCTGCAGTGGGCGCAGAACTCAACAACTGTTTTCTTAGGCGTAAAGTACGCGAGTCGGTGGTCTGCGCCTGGGGCCATTGAGATCACGGACCTGAGCGTCAACATCACGGAGGGCGCTTTTGCGCTTGAAGGATTTGGGCATCACTCTAACATACGAAAACGATATTTTGTGGATTTGGGGCTCTTTGCTGACGTGGTGCCAAGCCGCAGCACCTGGTCGGCGGCCTCGGTTGGCCGCGCCACGGCTACGATTCAAAAGGTTGAAGCAGGAAGGTGGAGCCGACTCACCAAGGCAAAGGACAAGTTGCTGTTAAGGAACTTAAAGAAAGCTACCATAATAAGGGTGTAAAGGGTTTAGGGTTCAGGGTTTATGGCATAATTTAAGTTACCATAATATATGGGTATAAAGTAAATAAAAGATTTCCTTATCATGGTAACTTGGTTTAAGTTCCTTAACGGCAACCAGGCAAAGGACAAGTCGAAGCACCAGATCACAAGCTGGCTGGATACTGGGTTGCTGTTAAGGAATTTATTTTAAGTTACTATATTGGGTAAACCTTATTATTCGCTATATATACTTATTATGGTAACTTATTTTAAGTTACTATATTGGGGAAACCTTATTCTTTGCGATATATCCCCATTATGGTAACTTAATTTAAGTCCTTTAACAGCAACCCAGGACATGGAGGAGCGATGGTCCGACGAGCTGAAGAGCAGGCGCCCAGAGACGAAGGCGACGGAGCAGCCCAAGGCGGCACAGCTCGAATCTTTTCTGAGGATAGGGTTTAGGGTTTAAAGTTTAGGGTTTAGGGGGATTTTTGGTGGTTTTCCAAAATTGGGACTATTTGGGGGTCTCCATAGAAAATGTCATAGTATTTTGGGGTCTATATTAGGGTCTCCCTATCTTGGAAATTACCATATCAGGGTCCTCGATCTCCCACCGCCCCTTCTTTGCAGAGTTCTCACAGCCGGTCTGTTCTGTTTCCTTAAGTTTCAGCTTCTGACTGGTTATGTTGGGGTTATTCTGGGATAACGGAAAATAAAATGGAAACTACTATAGTATAGTAGATTATATATTGGAGTCATATTTTGGATGGCAGGCAAAGGCGGAGACAGCAAGTCCATCACCGCCAGCTTCAACCCGAGAGAAGGGGCAGCGAGTCCACACGCCGCTGTACAAAAAAGTGCAGCGGCAGCTGCAGAGGCAGTTCAAGCGCTTCTACAAATTCGCGGGACGAGGCGGGAAGATTCACTTTGAATTGCATATGTGTATATATGCTCATTACAATTTTGGTTGGGATAATATACCCCAGAAGCCTATGCCATGTACTGATCTGACTAGGTTGCAGGATTAGACTGCAGCGAGAAAGCCATTTTCTGTGTTGCTGGTAAGGAATTTATTTCAAGTTACATATTGGGGGAACCTTATTATTTACTATATATCCCCAGTATGGTAACTTAATTTAAGTCCTCTAACAGCAACCCAGTTTTCCCCCTGAAAGGTTTGCCTTGGCTAGTACTCTTTGGGGGTGCTTTCCTTGTCGCACTTGCCCTTTACGCGCAGCTGGCGCCACGCGTCGCTGGGCTATGTTCTTTTGGCATCCCATACTACAAAACCTTTTTCTTCCCTCCCTAACAAGAAGGGAATCAACAGGACCCTAGAAGCCTTGCTGCTTATTATGAGAATAACCCAGATAACCCCTATATAGTACCCTAAACCCCAAATAGTAGCTTCCATTTTCTTTTCCATTATCCCTATATAACCCCAACATAACCCAAATATGAACGGTTGCTTGAAGATTTTGAGGAGTGGGAGTTGGGGTTGTGGTGGCACAGGATCCGATAATGCGCGCGTGCTACAGGTTAGGCCTTGTATTTAGATGGGAGGTTTCTAGCAAAAAAAGGTCCCCCTCCTCTACCCCCAAATAGTATAATCCTTATTCTAGGACCCCGAAAGCGACCCTGAATGTTTAACATGCATCTTAGGTAGCCGAGATGGACAGCATTGGCGAGCCTCAGCTTGACGATGAACCTACGTTTGCAGAGGTGACGACGGGTTAAGGATCTATCGTAGGGCTAGACCACTATGGGCTATTAGACCTTAAGGGTACCTTAATCTACCCTTAATAGAGTCCTAATAGGGAATTTTAGGGTCTAATAGCCCATACAGGGAAGCCAGGTATGGAAACACCCAGGTCATAACCAGGGTTCACATGAAACCCTGAAGCCAGGGCTATGGCCCTCCTAGCACATTTGAGCTGCAGTCTAAACTCCTAGCATCCCCCTTAATGATCCCTATAGTAGTCCCCTATATAATCCCTTATATCACCCCCTTTAAGGAGTTTAGACTATAGCTCATTTGGGGTTAATAGTCCGGTGAGTTTGCGGACAAAATATGACAGACGACAGTTGCAGGTGATGGCAGCAGTTCCTCTTCCGGGGAATCCTGCTTCCCCTGCAGTTCATCCCCCGGCCACGGAAAGCTGACTCTGGACCAGATGGCAGCAAAAAAGACTGCAGATTCGTTTCCACGTATCAAGGGCCGTCCTGGTAGTTTTCGCAAATATTGGAACCTGACATAGATCCCAACATTATGGTCCTTATTGTAGCCCACAAAAAGGGTCCCCCAATTTTTGGAAACCCGTTCCTGTGCACGTTGGAACAACCCTAGCCTCTATATCTCCCCATCTATCTCCATATACCCCTACATTGTACTATCCCTGTTTGGAACCCATCCCATACTGAATCAAATTGATTGGAGCTAGGTCGTCTCCGCTGCGAACGACCCCTCGGCTTGGCCTGCAAGCAAGCGATTATGGTCAGAACCTGAGAGATCGGCACCATTAAAGAGGATATGGGATTGTATAGGGATTTATACGGTTTAGGGTTTCCCAAAATTGGGGGGGTCCCTTTTTGGACGTCGCTTTTAGTAAGGACCACAGTATTTGGGGGTCTATATTGGGGACCCCCTGTTTAGGGAAACCTGCAAATGTCTGCCATGCACGCAGCATCAGGTCTGGTCAGCTGCAATCTGAATCCTAAACCCTACTTGGAGGGTCAGGGGGACTTAGTAAGTAGGTTAATACTGGGGATATTTAGAGTTACTATATGGGTTATAGGGGTTCTTAGCCTACTTACTAAGTCCCCCTGACCCTCCAAGTAAACCCATTTTTCTTCTGGGAATGTGAATGCATGCCAAACCTGCACGCCAGGTGCTGCCAAAACCACGAGACCGGGTGCGTGCAGGACCTTCTGCAATAGAGTTTAGGGTTAAGGTCAGGTTTCTCTTTGATTGCATCCCCAAATTTACCCTCGGGCTTCTTTCTTCCGGTGCTTCCAAGACTTGACACAGGCCCCCGAGTTTTACCCCTCAACAATAATGTCGTTTTGAAAGGGGCCAGTCTAATTCTTGGAAATGCCCATGTCCCAAGCTCTGCAGTGGCTCGTTATGCTCCGTGTGCAGGACGGTAGCTTCACTTGCGCCTTGGACAGGCAATATGAACTATAGGATCCCTGATCAACTGTAAGCAAGGATGAGGCCAAACTAACGCGAAACCTTGACCCTAGCGCAACAAGCGGCCAAAACCTGAGACCTAACCCATACGGAGCGACGCGGAGCAGCTGGGCACTTTCCAACGCTAAGTCTATTGAGGTTATTAATAGGGATAAGGGAAAAGCAAATGGAAGCTACAGGGATTTCTAGGCGGTATATAGGGGTTAGAGGGTAAAATGGGGTTATATGGGGATAATGGAAAAGAAAACGAAAGCTACTATAGTATTGGGGTTATTAACAGGGATACTGGAAAAGAAATATTTCCAAAGCTAAGGCAACGAGGGCGATGAAAGCACGTGGGCAGAGGACCTTTGGTCAGCTATGTTTCTACTCCTATTCCTATTACCAGTACTATTACTACTACATTACGATCATTGTTATTGCTATTATTGTTAGTACTATTGTTGTTGCGATTACTCTCTAAACCCTGACCCTAAACCCTTATCATCATCATTATTACTACTATTCTTTTTTAGTAGTAGCATGCCCTGTACTGAAGCACTCCGGGAGCCGGCAGGAGCAAAAAGCCTACTGTTGTACAACTGCTGGCTTGGGCTGCACCACTGCACTCCCCATGGACGGTGAGATGTACGACTGTACTGAAGGCCTGTCTGACAGACTGGGCGGTAAAATTTTTGGATACCATTGACCGCCACTGTGCTGAATTCTACCACTGTATACCATAATACACCAATACATACTCTAAGAAACTATGGTCTATCCACAGTATACCAAAGTATACCAATATATTCTCTAAGAAATTATAGTCTATTAGAACATGAGCCCCGTCCACTTGTGGACTGAGCGATGCCTTGGAGGCTATGCGAATTGGCCGGAGTGGCCAGCTGATAAGCAATCCTGGTGTTGCCCAGCGCTCAGCTGTTTTGGGCTGGGTGGCTGTACACGCCTGGTGTACGTTTGAATGTGAAAAAAGGAAAGTTGAGATGAAGATGCATTTCAATAAGTTGACGTGCCACGTCCCATGATGTCACCCTTGGTGCTAGGCACGCATCATTCACGTGCTTGCGCCGCAAGCGATGCAACGCAGTATGACTGCATCTTGTCGGCATTGGGGGTCTGGATGTGAGAAGCCTGGAGAAGACCCTGGAGCGGGGTGCTCCCTCCTCATCGAATCCATAACCAAGCTTATAGTCCCCCTTAAGTAGATAGACTATGGGGTATATGGGGATCTTATTGCCCAAAGCAATATTCTGTCTACTTGAGGGGGCCCTATAGGCATAGGACTATTAAGGAGTGGGCCCGCGATCTTGGCACATAGCATTTTGCGGGAAACCTCTCAGGCAGCACATTGGAGACTTCCTGGGACACAGTGCAAAAGGAGTGGTTGCTTGGCCTGCAAGGTTTCTCCTCGAAAGGGAAGGCTCAAAACTGATGTGAGGATTTCCCAAAATTAGGGGCACCATTATGGGGGGGTCCCTAGCATGAGGATTAGAGTATTTTGGGGTCTATCTTGGGGTCCCCCTGTTTTATATGAAGCTACCATCTCCCATGGGTTCTACCATAGTATACCATAATGTATTAATATCTACTTCAATATAGTATAGTATACTATAATATACTGTAATATACTATAGACTATTATCGTATACTATACTATAATATCATGTACTATAATCGATTATAATATACTGATGTATATCAAACTATGCAATACCTACATATTCTGGCCCAGTGGTACTAGCCCAGGTGCTGCACTCACCATGGCAAAGGATGCACTGAGTAGTGAGGAGCGACTGTGCAAAGCACACGGAAGACATTGTAGGGGTTTGGGCTTAGGGTTTAGGGTTTAGGGTCCCCAGCTTACCGTGGACCAGAGTCTGGGTTGAAAAAGGGTCTAGGGGGTTCAGGGTAGGGTGTGAGGCATCCTGGTGACAGCCGAAGAAGTGGCGAGATGAGCCGGTGGTGGTATGCGGTAAGCTGTCATGGATGTCTCGGTTGTCTTAGGCTTGACCAAAGGTCTATACCCAAAGGCCGCGAATCCAAAGCAGGTTCAGGCCATGGTGCAGGAAGCAGTTTTCCGCTACAATAACGCTGCAAAGGATAATGTTCATGCGAATCATGTTCTCTTAAGCATGTCCGTGGCAGCTGTATAAAGGTCCGTATAGTTCAAACTACGATGGCACCAAGCCGCCGAAAAAACAAATCAAGATCCACGTTCCATGCATGGATATCCAGTAGCTGTAGTCTCCTCAGGAGCAATGGACGAAACGGATGATGCTAGCCACATCTCTTTGTAGCCTTTCGGCAATGTATCATGTTCCTACAAGATTGTAACCCAAAAGACTCGTCAAGCATCTTCTTCTCATTATGCCCAGCAGTTGGGAACAAAAGGTGCCACTGCCTGCACCTTGTAGGTGTTTGCTATATGCGAGGTTTTGTCGCATGCATTTGCTGCCCCTCCGCTGGAAGATCAACCTCTACTTAAGTAAGGTTCTGGATCATGGACCGCAGCAGGTGAAAGAACTCGGGGCATCACAGGCAGCCAAGGGGCAAGCTCCACCCAAAGGTGGAGCTTGCCCAACAGGTTGGCAGGTCCACTTGTGGACAAGTGCCTGGCTGGAAGCCACAGACGTACAGGGACCCCGCCACCATCAATTCGTTGCTGTTTGCCTGGAAGGCCAGCAGCAGCTTTGCTTGTGGACCAGAAAACTGGCACCCCTAGCTTCTGAACAAAAAGAGCAGGACCTGGTGGATTCCTGAGCCACCCACCCTTCGCTGCCTCGTGCTGGATTCTCGTGACCGGACTCGTATGCAAGAAGCTGCCTTACTTAGCCACATAGTTTCACTGCCCATAAGCTGACAGCAACATGAAAATTTAAACCAGATACAGTTCAAAAGACAAGGGCTCACGCATAGCTTTTGAGCTGAAGCAATGGCCATGCTGTTGGATGCCTTGGGGGTGCCACGCCAAGGGCTAATGGCACGCCTCTCATCACAGCTCGCATCCTGGATGCTGCAGGGCAAGCATGCCAATCAGATCATAACGTGGCTGGGCGTCAGCCTCTGAATGAGAGATGCCCACTTTGGTCTTTGTCTTCAGGAAAACTATTACTAGTACTATTACTAGTACAGTTATTTCTCTCTATTACTATTATTATTACTACTATTATTATTATTACTATTCTTAGCAACTGGTGACCCCATGGCTTTGTCTCTGATCGCATTGGCCATGGCCCCCCAGGCAAGGCAGCCTTAGTGGGGCCGTCGCTCTGATCCCCATCTATCCTCCGCGCCCTGGCAAGCTTAAGGTGGCCTACTGTAGCTGGCCTTAGGGGGCTCAAAATCATGATTCCCTTTTTTTGGGGGGTGCTTCCTATGGGAGGTTAAAAGTTGTTTGTTGTAATATGATGCATAGGGCCCAAGTTTTGGTACAAGCTTACAAGCAAAGATGAAGTTGGGAGTCAAGAGCTAGCTTGAAACTGTAAAAGGAATCAGCACAAAAAGTCAAAGGCGGCGCTGCGCCGGCTGTGTGGGAAGAATAGAACGCACGTTTTTCCTGTGGCCAGAGAAGCACCATGTGTCAGGACCTGCAGAAGCCCCTTTTCTATGGCAGAAGCACGTAAGGTTGTAAAGCTGAATTCTCCATTTGCTTTCATCATAATTACCAGTCTGTGCTCTGTTGAGCTTTAACAGCGCAACTTTATTGGAGCCTGCATATGTATTAGAACTAGCTTCTCAGCCGAGGAAGAAATCTTGGCTTCCACCTGGTTCATCGCTTGAACGCATGCCGGAGACAACCTTTTGACCCTGACATGTTCGGCTGCATGAAATCAGTGATTATGCAAGTAGAGACTGGCGTGCTTTATGGCAGGACGCTGCCTCACGCGATTTGGCCCGGCTTAGCCTGGTCGCGCTGTTGGCAACTTGGCGTGCTGGAGGCGCTGTTCGTGGGTTTCGTTGCTGGCCCGTGAGAGACAGGCGGGCTGGCGCTTGCTGTGAATTTGGAGAGGTGTTGCTGCGCCGGTGACACCTGAGCTCTTGGATCCTCCAAGGGATCGTGAGGGTCTACAGCTCAGATAGATGGATTTGTGGGCCATCACATGATGCGCACAGTTTGAGGGGCTGTCCATCATGCATGCAAGCGTGACTGAGGGCGGCTGCTCACAGACCCAGAGTGGCGTCGTTGCGAGGTACCAGCTCTGCTTCAACAGTGGCGGCCGCCTGGCTTGAATGATCTCTGTGTGTAGCAAGGCTTATGTCCATGGCTTGGCATCGCGCGGCCGCGTGAAGGCCAGACTTTGTCCTCAGCTTTGGTGCGCTGGACGAGGTTTTTCTGCGGACCGCATCCAATCGGAGAACACCCTGGTCGGTCAGGGTTCCACATGTTCGCCTGAAGCTAGAAGCAGACCGACGCCCTCGAGGGATACAATTCCCTGGCCCCGGCTTCAGAAATGACTCAAGTCTTGACCCAACGGAGGTAGCAATTTCGTTTTGTGGTGGTGAGGAGATTACATTTGCAGATTTGCTTTCTGCTGTAGCAGACCCAGCTGGCAACATGCCATGCAGCAGTGAGGGAGCTGCAGGGATTGTGAGACTGCTGCGCATGGCCCGGGAGCGCAGCTCAAGCAGCATTCGGCCGCGAGAGCGGCCCTGGTGGGAGCTGCAGGGCCAAGAGAATTTCTTCGGTCCTTGGCCCCCAAAACGTTTGCCAAAGCTGCAAACAATGTGGGTGGCTGTGGATGCTGCTGATCCTAGCAGGCAGGGTCGCACTCTCGACGGTCACGTTTACTTTTGGAACCGGGAAAGCAACGAAACAACCTGGACGAGCCCCTGGGGTGGCCGACGTTCTCAGCAACGTGTAAAGTCCAGGCTCCAAGAGGTCTACGGTAGCAGCTCTGAGGGGCCCAGGATGATGCGGACTTCCGGCAGCAGGTTGGGCCGGAGCTCAGCAGGAAACCAGCAATTTCCGCATGCACGCGTGGGTTTGGTGCTTGAGTACATGAACCCGTTTGGTCGAAAGCTGGCAGCACCAGTCCCACAAGCTAGGGAGAGTCGAGAGACATTGTGAAAAGAGAGGTGTGCTGGCCTTTGTTAGCCAATGTTACCCCAATATGAACCCCCTAAGATCCCCCTATGTCAATGTACCTCAAGATCTTGTGGTAGCCTCCATTTTCCTTTCCATAATCCCCTCCTAAGCCCCAAACACCTATACAGGTTCTCGCGTCTGGCCTCGAATTCCCTAATATCCCATACAATGCAGTTGGTTTAGGGGTTTAGGGTTTAGTGAAGGACATTGTTGCTTTTTCATGAAGCTTGCTATGGAAGCCCTGAAGCTACCACCAGGCTATAACCTAAATCCCCTCACAGTTACTTTTGCCTACAACACTAATGTAGACCCATGATTTATAAGCCCCCTCCCCTTAATAGGGATTGTGTGTCTGTGGCAGCATGCCTAACTAGCCAGGAAGTCTGGCAGTTAAACTCCTACAGGCTCTTTCCTGCAAATCTTCAGTTCAACACAGGGATCCCTACAGCAAGGGTTATGTTACGTATATTGGGGATTATTTGGGGGCCTCTCAGTTCTGGAAATTCCGCATGATTTTCCGGCCCAAGAACCGAACCAATTCATTAGCATGCCTTGCTGAAGCCCTCCCGGCGGCATGCCGCCACTGAGAGGGCTGTGATTTCCGTGGCTTGGCTACATCACTCGGATGCTAAAATTTTAACATTCTGCCTGCATGGTATGGTACCATTGCCTTCAGTTTTGTTCGTGATTTCCTCATCTAGTGGGCAATTTAGCGATTTGCCGACCTCACCCTAAATGGCGGTTAGCGGTTCATTTAGGGAGTGCCAAAATTGCCTGAAATTGGGAATTGAACTTATTTCAAATTACCCTGCAGACATATTCTGCCCACAGCCATCATTTCTGCTATTCCCTGGCTTGAGCTGAGGTAAATCCATGGCTCCCCGGCCCAGGGAAACCCTGCTGAGGCTTTCTACTGCTTGCTCTATCATACTGGGGCTCCCAGAACGGCTTAGTGGTGTAGGCATTCAGTTAACAGAGTATAGAGTATAGAACCATCCCCCCCAAAGGTACCCCTGGGGATTATTCAGACAGCTCATAAGGATGATAAACAGAGTAAAGCAGTGTCCGAATGCGCATTCAGAGAATCAGGGATGGCAATCATCAAGTGGGACTGTTCGCCTTGCAGCGCGCAGCAGCCCATACTCGTGCCTTCACCGGCGCGCGAAGGCAATTTTCATGTTGCCTAGCCTTTAATCCCCAAATATATCCCCTATATAACCCTATATAGCCCTTATATATCCCCTATATACCCCCGTCCACCCACCCATCCAACAACCAATTCCAGCACACAGTGCTGTTCCTTTGTTCTCCTGGCAATCTCACTGCTCTAAACTGGGTTGCTGTTAAGGAACTTAATTTAAGTTACCATAGTGGGTATATATAGTAATTAACGAGGTTTCCCCAATATAGTATCTTAAATTATTATACCCATTATGATAACTTAATTTATGCTCCATAACCCTAAACCCTATGTAATCCCTATAACCCTACATGATCCCTATAGCCTTATACAGTCCCTATTTACTTAGTTTAAGGTCCTTAACAGCAACCCAGTAAAGTGGTAGGCCGCGAGTTGGAGCCGGGTTGTTTCTCTTTTGCCTGGTGGTGGCAGAACGTCACTTGGCATTAGACTTACCAGTTCTTAGTAGGGGATATGGGAATATGTAGGGATCACACTATAGGGATTGTATTCCCATATTCCCATGGGAATACATAGGGATCATATAGGGATTACATTCCCTCCTATATTCCCTAACTAAGAACCAGTAAGAGCTTAGAAAGAGCCCTCCTATGGCCAAAAGCTCTGCCCCTGAGGCGACTCCTCCTGGTCTTCCGCAGACATTGAAGCCTCTGGGTTGCTGTTAAGGACCTTAAACTAAGTAAATAGGGACTGTATAAGGCTATAGGGATCATATAGGGTTATAGGGATTACATAGGGTTTAGGGTTATGGAGCTTAAATTAAGTTATCATAATGGGATATATATAGTAGATAATAGGGCTTCCCCAGTATAGCACCTTAAGTCGAATTCCTTAACAGCAACCCAGGCCTTCGAGGATTCAGAAGTGCGACTACAGCTCTTGCAGCTGCAGCTTGATCTCGACAGGGCACCAAATGACCAGGACTGTGTGTGGCTCGTCCCCCCGGGTACAGATCAAGTGATCAAGTGGGGGCTTCCACAAATTAAGTGTCCCTTTTCGGGAGTCCTTATAAACAGAATTACATAATGTTGGGGTCTAGATTTGGGTCCCGATACTTATGGAAACTACAAGTGACCAGATACTCTGTGACATGCAGTGCAGGACCCGAGCATAGTGGTTGTGCCTCCGCGACCGCACAAATTCCCTTCCGACGAGACAGCGAGGACTGCGTGTCTAACCTTACGGATTCTTAGTAGGTAAGGGAATATAATCCCAACATAAACCCTATGTAATGTGTTCCCATGTTCCCTCTAACTCCAAGTATTCCATAAGGCTGTATATATAAAGCTTGAGCTCCATCATCTTGGCAGGATGGAAGAGCAGGCTTTCATTCCCACATCTGCCTTCCTCCTTGGTGCCATGCTGCTGGCGGCGGGGCACCGGACGCCAGGCAACATGCGACCAAGAAAGGAATGATCTCGCTGGGTTTAGGGTTTAGGGTCTCTAGAGTTTAGATCATCCCAGACCCAACTGGACCCCCAAAAGTAGGCAAAATAATAGCCCAAAACCCTTAGAAACAGTCCAAAAGGCGATTATTTTACATAGTTTTGGGATTCAGGTAGAAGGTTCGCAAGTATTTCCTAGACCCTAAACCCTATACAATCCCTATAGCCCCATATAATCCCTATAACCCTATATAGTGCCTATATACTGAAATCTGAAACGCGAGGCATGCTGGCAACCTACTTTGCTGGGCAGTCAAGCTTTGCCCTCTACATGAAGCTACTGGGTGGTTTAGGGTTTAGGGTTTAGGGTGCTACTGGGTTGGGGTTAAGGAACTTAGTTTAAGTTACTACCTTATCCCCCTATAGGAACTAGTGTTTAGGATTTAGGGTTCAGGGTTTAGGGCTATATCAGGGATTGAAGGAACGTAATCTAAGTTACTAGAACATAGGTATGTGAGGGGGAGTTATATAGGGGTATATAGGGATAGATAGATAGATAGGGTTTAGGGCTAAGGAATCTAAACTAAGATAATCTAAAGCACTATATCATGGCAACTCTATTCATTACTATATATATATACCCATTATGGTAACTCCAGACCCTAAACCCTAAACCCTACATATACCCATTATGGCAATTTAATTTTAAGGTCCTTAACAGCAACGAAGGCTAGTGCTCTCAGAGGAGACGGTGTCAAGGGAGCTAAATCTACGGGGAATGCCGGCAGCATTCCTGGTAACAGCTATCCAGCAGGTTGGGTTGCTGTAGGGTTTAGGGTTTAGGGCTTAGGGTTCAGGATTTGGGGTTTAGGATTTAGGGTTTAGGATTCAGGGTTTAGGGGTAAAGAATTTAGATTAAACATTGCCATGCTATGGGCATATAGTAAGCAACAAGGTTTTCCTACCATAGTAACCCGAAACCCTGAACCCTGACCCATTTCTTCCTATCATTGACTATGTACCCTATATTCTAGTACCTTCATTTAAGTTCCTGAACAGCTATAAAAGCAGGTCGTGGCCTTCTTTTCCCTTGCCTTGGTCATGTCCCTCCTCTACTTTTCGCCCTACCGCTACATTCCAAGAAAGCTGAAAAGCTGGAACCTTCAGTCTCCTTTAGAACTATTTTTCATGTTTATCATAATATAATATGAGCCATAATCTAAATTCCTAGTATCCCCTTTAATAGCCCCTATAGTAGTCCCCTACATAACCCCTATATAACCTTTAAGGAGTTTTGACTAAAGTATGTATTGAGGAATGAGCTCTTTTTAGGTCTAAGTTGAACGCAGGAACGAGGTCCTGGCTGTCCTCTTCTTTTCGGCAGCAGTGGCGGTCAACATCGGTCTGAACAACTTCAGTATGTCCCTACTGCCAGTATCTCTAAACCTGGTCATTAGGTCTTGTATTCCACTGGTTACTTTGATGCTACAGCAATTGGCGAAGCAATTCAACCTCCTGAGTGCGAACCAGGTTGGTGTTTTGGACGCTACTTGGTTCGCAGCGACAGTACATTTTCCAAAGGCTCCGGACGAGAGCTGGGTGTAGTGAGGAAGCTGACGTGGCATTTTGGGGCAGATGCCTTCGCAGCCGAGGTCAGTTTGATGGTGGGAGGTGTTGTTTGCGCGGCGGTCAGCGCACTGGCAGAAAGTGCAAATTCGGAGAATGGGCCAGCACCTCACCTGATGCTGGGTTACTTGACTGCAGTGTTCGAGGCTGCTATGGCAGGTATGGGAAGTGTAGGGACGCCAGCAAGGGCCCTCGAAGAGTTTGGCCTCGCGCTTCCACTTTAAGCTGACAGTCTCTACGTGCTGTGCCGGCTAAGGTGTTCTGATGTGCTCTCTTGGTGACATTGCTGCCGCCATGACTCTGATTTTGGCGTCAGCGTTTGGGAATACGCTGGACCCACCGTTAAATCCGTTGGACACGTGCCCTGTTTGCAGACTATTACGCTTTTGCTTGTTTCGGCCGTCGTATTGCTTGGAGCATTGTGATCGACGTGCTGCACAACATTTTGCTATCATTATCGGAGTGGCAACCTTGGGGAAGCCACGCTGAGAGTTTGGCAACCAGCATCAGGCAAAGGAAAGCCCTTGATATTGACTCGGCTCCTACATGTTCAGCTATCAGCAAGATGTAGTAAATCAACAAGTTCTCATCCAGGTTACCAACGGCCAAAGATAGCACAATCCAGAACTTTCTGAAAGGTGACGGCCTCTTTCTCACAGTCTTTGTCACATAAAAATCTATGATAGGTTATGCCTTGGAGTCGCGTGGAGGTTCTCTGAGATCACACTCTAGAATCTTGAGAAGCCCCTTGACGCACTGCATGTTTTCAGAGGGTCGGAAAACAATGTGGAAACGTAGGGTACCCTGATGTTGAAGCCAACACACTCACAGTAAGCAAAGCCTAAACCCTAAACCCATCAGCAAGGATATTCTACATGGCCTTGCCTTGCGCTTTGACGCTGCTACCGGCATCCTTGTACGCATCCCATCCGGTTGATTGGCCCAACTTTGGCGTGCTGACCGACTGGGAGGCCGAAGTCGAGGGTTTAGGGTTTAGAGTTTAGGGGTTTAGGGGTTTAGGGTTTAGGGTTTAGGTATTTAGGGGTTTAGGGTTTAGGGTTACGGGGTTTCCCAAAATTATGGGGGGATATTACGGGAGGTATGGGGAGAAGGGAAAGAAAATGAAAACTACTTCTTGAGGTTCATAGTCCCCCTTAAGTGGATAGAAAATGGGGTATATGGGGATCTTATTATAACATACCCAAAGCCACATTCTTTTAACTCAAGGGGGCTATAGAGTGTGGGAGTTAGAGGTTTGTTTTGTTGGGAACGGCCTGGGGATAGGTGCGAGTATGTTTGAGACCTCTAGGGTTTAGGGTTTAGGGTTGTTTTGTGCAGGAGGCCTTGCGGTATTGCAGCTGGTTTCCTCTTCTTCAAGGTATGATCTCCGCGGTTCGATGCAAGTAGCCATAGCCTTATCATTCGCTCGTTTCCCTAAGGGTCCAAGTACTCAAGGATCATATACTTGCCCAAAACCTGTATTACAATTACTTTACAAAAATCCCAGATACCTGATTATCGGGTACCTGGACCCTAGAACAGCTTGACTCTGTCTTGTTCAGGTCCAAAGCCACTTACCTGCCAGTAGGATGAAGATGGGTTGTATCTGGTACTGCCCGCCCCCGTATAACAGTCACCTTCGTCATGGGTTCTGTGGACCCCCCACCCAGCAATAGTGACTGTAAGGCATAACGGTACTAAGTTAGGGTCCTCTCATATTCCTATTATACTACTTCTACTGGGTTGAGTCCACCGAAGTCATGGGATATTCTAGCAACAGTTACCAGGGAGGCTCTAGGCTCTTCTTCTCGAGTTCTCGAATTAATCACATCGGAAAATCCTCAGCTTTCGTTGCTCAAGAGAAAATGAGCAGAGGTGTCTCAATGCCGAAGTGAGAGTGTCCAAATAAAGCATGTCCAAACCACCCGTAGGAGGTTTAGGGTTTAGGGTGGGGTTTCTGAGTACCCAGATCCTGTGCCTGAATGCCCTCCCCCCCTCTACGCACCTTCCCACCCCTCCTGCAAGTGAAGGTCTATCAAAAAGTTCATGTACTCAACCCGGGCACTATCTTTCTGGTGATCGCTTCGGGCATCGTTTCCGCCGGCTACAACTTCATCCAGTATACTGTTGTGCAGACTTTATCTGTGACTGGCCCAGAGTTACTGCCCCATGTGTAGTTACGGAAAGGATAGGTGCCTATACTGGCTGGTTTATGACGGTTAAATTGGTAGGCGTGTATGTGCACAGTTTTTGCACGATCCAGGGAGGTTGACCCGATTGGCAATGAAATTTCGCTTAGCCGCGAGTGTTCAAGGTGTTGCTTTGCTAGCTAACATTTCAACTTACATAGAAACTGCCCGAAAATAGATCCCTCTCCGTACCCCTAAACTCCACCAACCCCTAAACCATAAACCCTATAACCCTAAACCCTATCACCCTAAATCCCATAACCCTATCACCCTAAACCTATTGATGGGTTTTCAGCCTGAGGCAAGCCATGCGGCCTTTGCGGGCAACTTCAACAAAGCCGCTACCATCTCACTGTCAATTTGCTTAGGTTTGGAGACGCTGCCAGGAGGTAAATGGAAGCACCTACGCCATATTTCAGTAGCATTTTATTTGAGGGTGTGATGTTGCACAACATGGAGTCAGATTACATCCTCCTACTCATTTTGGAAGAAAGTCCTCTTGTCTTAGGAACGCTTAGGCAGCATGAGGGAAGCAGGATCTTTTCATCCTTCTTGTCAATGACCGAGGTATATCATGCTTCTAGGAATAGTTGGAAACATCCTGGCCTTCACAACATGGAGCTACCTACAGGCAAAACTTAAGGAGAAGACCCAGGAAGGGAAAAGCCCTTCCTAACCGATCTATGCGGATGCAAAAAGACCGCCACAACATGCTAGCGCTTCGGATCCAGTTCCTGTTGTTTCTCAAAAGCATGTTCTGTTTGCAGCTTGCGTTTCAAGTTTGGTCGGGCTTTTGTGCGCTTTGCTCGCCCGGTCGCTGTGACCAATGGACAGGCCAGAACTGCTTGCTGTGACAGGTCCCCGAGATCAGAAGAGTGGTTATATGTGGTTAATGGAAAAGAAAATGGAAACTACTATTTAAGGTTGCATAGGGTTATATATGGAAAATGCAAAAGAAAATAGAAACTACTATCTAGGGTTATATAGGGTTATATCGCGTCAGGTATACCGGGCTGGACACAGAGCAGAAGGCCGCCAGCATGTGAGCGCTACCAAATGCTTTTATTGGCTTTTTCCCTTTTGTTGTGACACGGAAACAACGGCCGGCTTCTGGCAACGGACCTGTACTGGATCCTGTGTCCCCCCTCCCACCTCAAAAGGTAGAATAGTCCCCTTATTTATTGACAATACCATTGATAGTATTGCTACCAACGCCATTATGGGGCCCTCCAATCCTATTACCTTACATATATACCGCTCTGATTTCATAAGTTTAATAATGTATACCTTCCATGGACCTAGGTAGGTAGTCCCTATATTGCCCCCAATAACCTAAACGTTAAATATGCTATATAACCCTACATATCCCCTAAAACCGCCAAAAAGGTACCCCCAAGTTTGGGGACGCTAAATCCTAAACCCTATATACCCGTATACAAGCCCCAAAAAGCTATTAGGGGTCCACCCAAACCCTCAATCCCTAAACCCTGAACCCTAAAACTCTAAACCCCTAGACCCTAAACCTTAAAAACAAAGAAAGCTAAACTCTAAAACCCTAAAGCCCTAAACCCTAACACCCAAACCCTGAAACCCTAAAACCCAAACCCTGAAACCCTAAAACCCTCAAACCTTAAACCCGGTAGGTTGCCTTGCTCTCCCTCCTTCGAGCTGCGGCAGAAGCCGAGCTTGACACGGAGGATGCGCGAGTCAAGTTGTGCCAGGCTCTCAGCAAGGAGGGTTGGAGGTAGGGGTTTAGGAATCAGGAACCCTTATACCTAGACTCTACACCCCCAATATAAATGTATATATATATATATAGATATACACACCCTATTCTACTACCATAGTAGTTTCCATTTTCTTTTCCGTTATCCCAATATAACCCCAATATATACCCTATGGGTTTAGGGTTTAGTAGAGCTATGGGTTGACTTAGGCGGTAGGGTTTTGGGTTTAGGGCGGTTGCAGGGTTGTAGGGGAGTTGAGGGGAAATGGAGACGAAAATCGCAACTACTGCACGCTGGGCTTAGGGCTAGTAATTCCCAGCAAGGTGGGGTTGTAGAGTTCAGGGTTGAAAGCCCCTTAAATGATGGAGAATCAACTGGACAAGGAAACGAAATGGAAGCTGGGTTAATAGTCTCGTTAAGTAGATAAAGTATGTCTTTGGGTATATTGTAATAAGATCCGCATATACTAACCTCATATTCTATCTACTTAAGGGGGACTCTAAATGCAGGAAGCCGGTGCAGAGTGTGGCATCCACAGCGCGCTGACTCGTAAGATCTTTCAATGCGTTGTTCCAAGTTCCAAGCTTAGTGCTTGGCTTGAAGATCTGCTGGTATGTTCAACAGCAGCTTCAGGACAGGACTGAACAAACACCAGGATGTCAGCAACATTCAGCAACGACCCGCGCCGTCAGCGGCACAGTAAGCGGCAACTAGTCGAAAGTACAACGATCACCATATTGCCCCCACTAACCTAAACTTTACATATCCTATAGGACCCTATATATCCCCCCATAAGCCCCAAAAAGGTATCCCCCCAATTTGGGGGACATTACAGTCATCCAGGAGACCTTTGGTCATATGTGCAGCTGCACACTCCGAAACATTCTGACACGTCTGCTTGTGTTGTGTCATAGTCTTGCATTCTTGGTGCGCATTGCCATACATAGAGAATATGTATAGCACACATGCATATGCACATCTGTACATACATCCGTGCGTATATTTGAGGACAAGCAACAGAGGAGGAGTCATCTCTTGAGCCACCCCTGAATGGTTGCTGTTAGAAATGGGTATATATGTAGTAAATAGTGGGGTTTCCTTATTATGGTAGCCCTAAACCCTGACTTCTAAACTCTGAACCCTGGACTCTGTCTCTCTATGTACATATGTATGTACATGTGTATACACACACATGTATATATACATATACGCACACATATTCACACATTTAAATATATAACCATATGAAAGTGACTTAACTTAAGTTCCTTAACAGCAAGCCAGCTGAGGTGAACTGCCAGACTTCAAGCCTAGGGCTTGCTTTCACGAGATCCAAGGGCCGAGTGTGAAAGGACTGCCCTTGGATGCAGAACCCCTCAGTTGGGTGAAGGGTTTAGCGTTAAGTGGGTTTAGGGTTAAGGGGTTTTAGGGTTTAGGGTTAAATGGGTACATGGTTTAGGATTTCAGGGCAGGCTTTAGGGTTGAGTGGGCTTAGGGTGTAGGGCTATTGGGCTTCTAGGGCTTTATAGGGTGCCTTATAGGTACTCCAGAAGTATGTGATGACCCCTTGATTGGGCTTTCTAGGGTTTTTCTAGTGTATTTCATCGGTGTATATGATAACCCCTCACTTCAGCTTCCAGGGTGCAAAACTGACAGGTATATAATCTGAGGCCCCGACCATGGCAACTACCAGTTTCCTGGGTCCTAGAGGCGCTTGATTCGGTTTGTAGGGCTTTTAAAGGATATAATGGGTTTTATAAGGACTCCAGGATTAAGAGCCTGTGCTAGGGGCCATTATGGCTTTAATCCCGCATGACAGGTGGTCATGTGAGTGTTTTACATGTTTCTAGGGAATCTAGCGGCTCCATGCTGTGGAGTTAGAAAGACTTAACGTGAACCTCCCGGCGAGGATGGATGGGCGCCAGTGATCTTCACCTCTGGCTTTCCTCTCAGCCACATCCTGTGGCAGGTGCGCTGCGGCCCTGTGTTTTGGGAAGCCACATATCCTTGTATATCCATAGACACCCTAAACCCTACACCTTACATGCTCCAGCTTTTCAATTCGAACCTGGCTCACTGTCAGGTTACAGGCTGGAGGATGTCTTGGCCGCAATCAGGCTGCGTACTGGTTCCCTCGACATCTTTCCCGAGGCAAGGGGAAGGGAAACATGCCTCACCCCAAATTTGTTGATCCTGCAGCTGTCCATACTGTACCCCTTACTGGGTTGCTGTTAAGGAACTTAAACAAAGTTACCATAATCAGTTTATATATATATATGGTAAATAATAGGGTTTCCCCAACAATAATTTAAATTGAGTTCCTTAAAGCCCTATATTCCCCCAGTTTCCATGTCATTTTCCATGTTCTTTTCCATTCGAGTAACCACTATAAGGGGATAATATAGTAACTTAACTTAAGTTCCTTAACAACAACCCAGCTTCTGAAGCAGGACTTTATCCGCATGACAACTCCGAACTTCCGCTCTGGCGCGTATCTCAAGGAGCCATGGTTTAGGGTTTGGGGTTTAGGGTTTAGGGTACAGTAACAGTTGGATAATGATTACAATACGGTTATATACAGCCCTTAATAGGACTCCTAATATAGACTGTTACTGGGTGGGGGCAGTACCCAAGGTTCATGAATAAGAATGAAGTTCGCAATGCAAAGTGCCGTAGGCAGCTCCATACTAAAGCGTGTCCCCTGTATCAGGAACTTGCGATCTCCCGCACGTACCTGCCATACCTCTCCTATGAGCGGCCATTGAAGTATCCTGGCTGCTGTTAAGAAGTTTAAACTAAGTTACTGTAATCAGGAGACCCTAATACTTTACTAAATACCCATATTATGGCCATTCAAGTTCCGTAACAGCAACCCTAGACCCTAAACCCCAAATAGTAGTTTCCATTGTATTTTCCATTGTCCCTATATGAGCCCTATATTTAGTAACTTAATTCAAGTTCCTTAACAGCAACCCTAAATCCTACACCCTAAACCCTACACCCCAACCCAGGTATGAGGTAGCCTACCGCCTCTCGCAGCCACCTGGCGTGAAATCAGTGAGGGTCCGCTTCAGAGCATGGTCGTCCAACATGCAGCTTTGTTATAATGGGGGGATGATATGGGAATCATGTAGGGTTTCGGGATACCATCCCCCCAACAATAGAGAATCAAATGGAAAAGAACATGGAAAATGACATGCCAACTGGGATGAAGGGGCCTGTAACCCCAGATCTCATTTCATGTCCCATTCCGCTTTGCATTTGACTCTCCATTCTTGCGGTCCTACGCTAGTACGGCAAACCTAACCCCTGATCCCGACAGTGCGACGCGCGTGCCGAAACCCACCCTAAACCTTAAACCCTAAACCTTATATAGTCCCCCTTAAGTAGATAGAATATGGCTTTGGGTAGAATATAATAAGACCCCCATATATCCCATATTCTATCTACTTAAGGGGGGCTATATCCCTGAAGCAGTGGGACAGGCTTTTTCTGCTGGAGTTGGACTTCATTAGCCGTCTCCGCTTCCATCAAAAGCGCTTAAGACAGGCCGGTCCTAGCTTTTTGGAGTTTCTACCTTACTTCGTGGGACCCTGTGGTGACTAACGGGGCTGGGCAAACTGCATAAACTGCATATACAATAAGGTTACAGTATAATGGGCTTGTGAAGGGGCATAATATATCACCTAACTCCGGGGTCCCTCACAGTACTTGTAGCATAGTCTGGAGCACTGCCTGGAAGCCTTCAACTGTTTCAGGTGGCTATCTCCGGAATCAACATCGTAAAGTTCCTCGACATGGAGGAGGGCTTTTGCGCAGGCACGCGTTGTCAAAATATCCACAGCCAAATTTCGCCCCACCTGGTTTTGTTCCTCCAGTGCTGTGAATCCACCATCCTTCAGAATGTACCTGGCATCTCCTATGCCGCGTTGTTTAGAAATTCTTGATGTCGTTGATACTAAACATCGGCATGGGTTTGGTATACTGCAGTACCATTGCCAAGGTATAAGGTACTTAGGGTCATGCAGGACTTTTAGCATCCTCCATATAGGCGGCACTTGATGAGGCATGGGCGGCCTACTGTCAGCCATGGGAGTGCGCCACGTGCTCTCCAAGGGGGTGGCCGGCTACACCCGCCCTATGGAGCCAGCGCTTTGCGAGGCTCTCATGAAACGCATCAATCCAACGGAGCCTCAGGCTAGCATACAGTTTCTCGCTAGGTACTGCTAGACAAGTCGGAACTTCAGCTGCTCGACGTCTAAGGATGCAGCCTTCTTCCCAGCTGACCACCTGGGCAGGCTGCTCGACATGCCTCTGCCCACAGCGACCTCATACTACACCTGGGCAGACCGGATGGAACGAAGCCCGCTGTCCGAGAGCTATGCTTACCGTGCTGCCAGCCCAACACGCCTCTTTGACAGCCCCAGCCTGCGGGAGCCCAGCCTCCGGGAGCCGAGTCCTGCTGGACGTTTCCGTGCTACCTCCCCGAGAGCCATGTCACCCCGCCGCAACAGCCGCTTCATGGAACCCATGAGCCCAATCAGCCCAGTAACACCATTGCCGGATTACTTGCTGCCTGACTCACGGCCTCCACGGCACCACGGGTCGAAGGACTGGGATACAAGGTCGCCCTCTCCGGCTCGGAAACACTACCTGTCCGAGCTGTCCACCCAAGATCCTGGGCTGTCCTTCGAGAGGAGCCTGGCTGACACTTACGTGTCATCTCCAGTAGCTGGGAAGCGCTTACACTTTACAGGTTTGCTTTTAAGGAACTTAAATTAAGTTACCATAATGGGTATATATAGTAAATAATAGGGTTTCCCCAATATAGTAAGTTAATTTAAGTTCCTTAACAGCAACCCACGTTACAGGTTTGCCAGTTTGTCAAGGCTGTAGTCCCTTTTCGGCCCCTAGGGCAACCTGGACCCTCACATTTCAGCTAGTCAAAGGAGATCACAACTGTGAAAACCTACCATTTTATGAGCTATAGCCTAAACTCCTTAAGAGGGGGTTGCATAAGGGATTAGATAGGGGAGACTACTATAGGGGTCATTAAGGGGATACTAGGAGTTTAGACAGTCCAGATGCAAAAAAGTAGTTTCCCAAAAAACGGGGGCCCCACATAGACCCCAATATACTAATAGTCCTAATTTTGGGGACCCCCCAAAAAGGTACCCCTAATTTTGGGAAGCCGCCATAATGCATATCAAATTTCAAGTTCCCTGAAAAAGCCTAAACCGGACACAAATTCAGTATTCGCCACGCTGTGACTTCTGGTGGTTAGTGCTGAGCCCTTCTTTACCGTTGTGATGATGCAGTCATGATAAGATCGGGGATGCGCATGATGCCGTCGCAATTGACGTCGGCCGACAGCTTCCTGAGAAAGCCTCTTTGTGAGGTCGAGTTTTAGCTGGACAGGACATTCATTGCCGTGCCTGCACTGCTTGTGCGATGCGCGCGTCTAAACCGGACACCCTAAGTTCTAAACCCTAAACCCTACATTTTGGGAGTTCTTCCAAGGGGATACTAGGGGTTTAGACTATAGCTCATATACCTCCTTATACTCGTACCCTTATATAGCCCCTATTTAACCCTATATACCCTTATATTGCAATAAAGTGCCAACTGCAAGCCGCGCTGCGGAGCAAGGCCCGGTCCTACTCTCCACGGCGATATTCGGCAGGCAGGAAGTGCTTGCAGTTCTGTAGTGGTGGTGGGGAAGTAGTAGTAGTAGTAGAAGAAGAAGAAGCAGTAGCAGCAGTAGGAAATGCGGGAATGGGTTATAGAGACTGCTACAGGCCAGCATATGGATCCATTCATTCCTACCCTACCGAGCACCAGATAGCAGAAGGGCGAACTGGGTTTCCGGCAGATTGGAACGTCCGCGCCAACACTATGCAACACTTATATCTGCTTGCATCACAGGACTATCTGCTACCGCATCTCCAGGGGCGTCCCCCACTTTGGGGACTCCATTCCCACGACGTTCTCTCCATTTCTTGGACTCGCATGCCGCTCGGCTTAAAAGATGTGGAGGCCTCTGAGGCATCTTCTCTTCCAGTCGAGCCACTCACCAGCCAAAACTGAAGCAGTTTCTTTGTTTCAGTGGCCTCAGGAGCAACGAGCCCTGCAGCAGTCACTTGGACGCAGCACTGCAAAGCCTCAAGTTTTGAAACTGCACGTTTCGCAAAATTAGTGTACCTGAGAGGGGATCAGAACTTCAAGCCCCTGGGTGCAGGACTCTGGCGGTGATGGCCCGACAAGCCAAGCTGGATTCCATGGAGCCTCGAAAGCAGATGATATAGGATATTATGGTATGATGTAGTAAAGCATGGTATAACAGAGTAGAATAAGAAAAATTGTAGTCATAATTACAAATACTTTGTTGAGACCGAACCCGGCCGAGCTATGTCAAACATGGCTGATGTGTGTGCATACATTCATACCATACCTACACTCATAATGCAGACATAGGTTCATAGCTCAACACTTGCATATCTACTCGCACACCTAGCTACATACTAGCATGTATACACGCGTTGTATGTACATGCATACATACGTACCTACTGTACCTACTCACATGCATACATTCATAAATACAAGCATACTTGCTTGCAGGCGTATGTATATGCCTATGTAGGCTCTACTTACATAGGCATCGAGTTACGCCTTGTGGTGAGTTGTATATCTACATGCAAGTATACGGCCCTTTGTGTACAGGACCAAAACTTTGGTATATGTGCCTGTTTGTGCACATGCAAGGTCACAAGACACAGGCGCTCTCACCCGCACACACATACACAAACATGCATGCATGCACAGAAGTTATGTTAAATGAGCGTAGGCGTGCATCGTTGCTTAAATATATCAGAAGTCCCCGGTACCTAGCAGTCAGTGGTGGCCAAGGTCATGAAGCTGTGGGAAAAGAGGGCCACAAGTTGATGCAAGCAGGATGGAGACCTCCCACAGCACACTGAAACTGAGGGGGCGCAGGGCATGTTGTATCGAGTGAAGCTTGCAGATATATACCCAGTATATACACCATATATAACCCCAATATGACCCCAATGTATACCCCATTTCAAGAAGAGCATAGGTGGAGGATGCGAAGACGTTGCTTCCAACCTGCTGCACGGTGGAGGAAATTTTCAACGAGCTGGACCTGGCATGGGCAAAAAGGTGGAAAACTATAGCCCCCTTGGGGGTTTAGGGTTCAGGGTTATAGGGTTTAGGGTTTAGGGTTTTAGGGTTTAGGGTTTAGCCCCTTTGGGGGTTTAGGGTTTAGGGTTATATTGGGATAGCGGGAAAGAAAATGGCAACTACTATTTAGGGTTTAGGGTTGTATTGGGATAATGGAAAAGAACATGGAAACTACTATTCAGAGTTTAGGGTTTAGGGTTGGTACTATAGTAGATTGGGGATATATGTAAGGAGAATGGAAAAGAAAATGGAAACTACTATGGTGTTTATAGGGGTCATACAGTAATAATGGAAAAGAAAATGGAAACTACTCTAGCCCCTCTTTTCCTATAGAGCTAGAATGTACACATTGCAGAACTTGGTCCATAGCGGGCTTAAGCAAAGGAGTGGACTTGATGGCTTTCTCAAAATCAGACTGCAGGATCTGATGCGGAATGGGTACGTCACGCTGCGAGACATCCGCCGCTTTATGGCAGGTTACTTGGAGTCTTTCAAATTTAGGGATACTTTTTAGGGGTCCCTATAATTCATTAGGGTTATAGTATTTTGGAGGTCCGTGCTGGTTCCCTTATTTGTCGGAACTGCCTCTTGACGCAGAGTCGAGTGCGTCACGGCTGGGGTGGGCTGAAGAGAGCATGTAATTTCTCAAAGCCACTTGCTGTGCTGATGCTTGCTTGCACTAGCTAAGAGAGGCAGGTGGTGAGATCCAGGACGCGAGATGCAAGAAGGTGTAGTAGCGAAGCAGGGAGCCGTGCCACTACAACCAGCGAACATGCAATCCACTGTTGAGCTTGTAACGAGGGTATTTTGAAAAATGGGGTCCCCCTGAAAGATAATACGTCTTATAGCGACCCCCCCCCAAAAAAAAAGGGACCCGTGATTTGTGAAAGCCACGTGGCACAGGTTTTGGCTTCACCGCAAAGTATGCAAGCTACACATCGTTGGTGAGCGACCTCCACCTGCGACGCAAGATCTTTCACCAGCATTCCGTGCGAGGCCCCTGGCTCAGGGTTTAGGATTTGGGGTTCAGGATTTTTGCGCTTCCCAGTCAACCGCAAAGCCCAGATGCAAAATCGAGTTCGAGATTAGGGGTTGAGGCAATGTTCAGGCTTTGGGGTCCGAGAACGAGCCGCTTGTATGGCGGATTTCTCACAACGGCCCGTGCGTTGCCCACGGGATTTCTTCATGTTGCTCCTTGTATATTCCTTGGATTTCCAGGGGTAACCCTAGTTGGATGTCGCTGGTGTTAGTGGGGTCACCGATGATCCCTCAAGTCTTGTGAGGATGTAGCAATAGTAATAGTAATTGTTAAGAGTGATGGCAGTAATAGGCTTTGGGAATGTGGGGGCTCACGACACCAGTCCTTGATAGGGGTCCCTGTTGTAAAAACCTTCTTGCTTGGTGCAGATGAAACAGCAGAGGGCCTAGCTTTGAACAACATTGTCGGACACTGCTCCCACCTATGAACCATTGGATGATCATCATAATGAAATTAGATATATACACATATAGACAGCTCTGAAAGTTGATTCTCTTAGGGGCTGTTGCTGGGTGGGGGGCAGTACCCAGCAAGTTCAAGACCATCTGGTAGTTTCCCACCCCGATGTCTACACCCGAAAATACTACAGTCCTCATTATGGGGACCCCCAAAATGGTTTCAAAATGGTACCCATGATTTTGGGAAACCCCCATCTGCTCAGGTGCCTTGTTGCTTCCGGAGAGCTTGGATCTGCGCGACATCACGATGCTCACGCTGCCCTTCACCGGAGAGGGCTGCAAGGCAACACTGTTCTGGGGGTATATTTTGGGGTTATATAGGGATTAACCAGGGTATATATTGGGGTTATTTCGGGATAACGGAAAAGAAAATGGAGCGTTCGACCCTGCTTGCAGTTACTGTAGCATGTTTGCCTGAAGACGGCATCGTTATCGCTAGGGGGTGCCAACATGATGAAGAGCACCAAAGCTGCATCATGGCTGCGGGCAGAGTCCCTGCAAATCCTTGCCCTGCCCGACCTTCTGCACCATGACCAACTTTACCTGAAAGGCGGTGATGGCCTGCGCGAACGATGCAGAGGCCGCATCCGTGCTGTACCTGCTCCCTGGCACAAAGACTACAAGGCTGGGTGGTTTTGCAGTTGATGGCCAACCGAGGCTGCGTAAGTCCGAGCCCTGCCCAACATGTGGGACACGTGCCCAGCGTGACGAAGATGCTGCGGGCTGCCCGACCGTGACCTGCCCTGTCTGCAGGAGTGGGAGGCCCCCCCCAAAAAAATGGCTGTGAAAGGTGTGGGTGGCCTCGTGCCTGAGAGGTCTTGGGAGGCCCTGGGAGGCGGTACAAACGGTGCAGAAGCCAACCCGGCCATGTTGGGCTTTATGTTGTGCGTCAGATCCTTCCGTGTCACAACACAGAGTCATCACCGGCAACATCCGGCAACGATCATGACTGTGCTGCTGCTGCAGGACCCAGTTCCAATGCCGTCATGTGGAAGGAGACCGGCCGGAGGTCAGTGCTTTGGCGGCACCGAGCAAGGTTTTCTGGATGGATGCGACCGTTGGCAACGGAAATGTCGGAGGTTTGCGTGAACCTGTTGATCTTGTGGCCGAAGCAGTCAGATACAGCTGAGGCTACCCGCTGACTTCGAACGCAAAGCCACCTGGTGTGAGTTCGGCCGAATTACATGCTACTGTACTGTCCCATTGCGATGTGCTCGCTGTGATGACTCTGATGTTGTGGTTGGAGCTACTTACGTGCTCAGCGCAATTCGACAGCTGATTTGATGAGTGTAGGAGCTTTGCATTGTGTTGCTGCTTTGAATTGACTCTGGACCTTCAATCCTGCGCTTTCTCTGTGCCCAATGGGACAGGCCTAGGTTGGCCAGGATGGTGCATATGCCAATGCGCATGCGCTACGCTACAGTGTGGCCGTGGCCGCTACAGGTGCGTCCAACACTTGCCAGAATATGAAGGGTTAGCGATGTGGACCTGAACCCCGCCTCCATTCAGTGCCCTTACTGTAAGGCAAGGCAAAAGCAATCGAAGATCGAAACAAGTTCTAAGGCATGCTTTGTACCGGCTGCTGGGCACTACGCTGGAGGCGCGATGCGTAAGCTCTGCTGGCAAAATGTGTTGTATCCCTTGACAAGGGACCCACTTTGAGAAGCCAAAATTGTCGACAACTCATCAAAACTTGATGCTCATGTGGCAGTTTCCCTAGATAGGTGGACCGCAATATAGACCTAAAATATTATAGCCCTTATTAAGGCAACCCAAAAGCGTACCCTTCATTTTGGGAAACCTCCATTTGTCGACAACTTGTCACCACCGAAAACCTTAACCCTAAAACCCTCAATCCTAAACTACGAAGACGTCGTGGAGATGCGTAGCATAGCCACTCAGACCAACTAGGGAAAAAACCGTGCCCGAACCGGCAGGCATCAAAAGTCGCGGGGTTGAACAAAAGCCCTGAACGTAAAAATGCTCAAGTTTTGCCGGTCGAGGCTGCCGAAGAGCTTGACTTGGATCGTCGAGAGCTTGCTACCTTGCTCTCCCAAGAGACCCTTGCCTTTGTCTATACGTACTTTAGTCTAAGCTCCTCAATGGCAGTAATAGACGGGATTATACAGGGGACTACTATAGGGGTTAAGTGGGATACCAGGAGTTTAGACTATGGCTCATAACACGTACCGCGTACACTTACTGGGGGTTAGCAAGGAGATAGGGAATATAATCCCTATATAGTTCCTACATAGTATATTGCCTTATTCCCTACTGACCCTTTCCTGGATCACAGTCCTGCATAATGATCTCGTATAATCAGGCCCCGCAGCAGAAAGCATTGCAGGTCTCGCAGCTGGAAACCTTCTTTGCAGTAGCCTTCCCTGACCAAAACGTAGCTGTATCTCGTATGGTTTTGCGATGCGCGGAGCCCGAAGACGCACACGCACCCCCCGAATGTGTGGAATCATTGAGGCCTAAACCCTAAAGCCTAAACCCTAATCGAGAAGCGTGTCTAAACCCTACAGCCTAAACCTGTGACCTGAGGATCTGTGGGCTCCATGACGTCTTTGGGGCTATCACTCCAGGGACTGACGGTGCCTCACGCTGGACATTGTTAGACACCACGCACCCCCCCTCTCATTCTGAACTACGGTTTAGGGTCTAGAGCTTTTGAATTACATTTCGGCAATGATTCTTAGTGGTTAGAGTTTACTTCTGATGAAGTAAAGCGCTCGCCTTCTGCATGCTGCCCTATATGACCCCCATGTGATATATTATATTCCCTAATGAACCGGAAAGCCTAAATCCTACATATTCCCTTACTCCCGGCATCTTTCCCGAATCTCAGGCTTCACGCAGTCGGACCTCCGCCGGTGCTTTGCCGTTCAGGGCTTGCCCCTGCCGCCAGGAGAACAGTGGGATCTCCTGCTGGGGCCCTGGTCATAGGTTCAAGGCTTAGGGCCATCTACATAGTACTAATAGTAGCGATAATAAGAATAGCAATAGCACTATTAGTAATACTAAGAACAAGAATAGTACTAATAAGAATCACAAGAATAATAGTATGTTTGAAGCATACTAGTAGTAATAATCATTTTAGTAGTTAGACTTCTAACAACCTTTCAGCGCTTTCAGCTTGGTGGGTAGAGATGTTTGTCGTCAGGTGGCAGCGATACGCTGCTCCGAACGCCATCAGCGTGAACTTCCTGGATTTTAAGAGTCAATTACAGCCGATGTTTTGAGGAGTGCTTTTGCCTGAAAGAGCCTGTAGCCAGTACTTAACTCGTGTCAAGCTTCCTCCGTGGGTGCGAGTTACGACTGTATGCAACTTCATTCCTGAAGGACGCTGTGTTTGGTGAGTTCAAGATGTGAGTCGAGCCTTGTCGTTTTCACAAAGGAGGTCACATGTGTTGATGGTCAGTTGAGGGCCTCAAGCTTTGTCAACTGGAAATGATACGTTATTATATGCACTACAGATCTAGAAGGCAGCACCTAGCGCTACGGCTGCTTCAAGGATACGAGCTGAGAAGCTAAATCATGCATTTGAGTACCGGGATAGAGAGACATGAATGAGCAGCAGCTCCCCTTGTACCAAGTCCTAGCATGGGCACTGTTCCAACTACGGAATTCTGATCACACATAAGGCCTGAAAATCGGGACGCAAAGAGCGTCAGAGCCGAGCCCATTGTATTCATAAGAGATGTTTTTCACCGAGCAGTCTTGAGTGTGAGTTTAGGACTGCAGAAGCATGCCTGAGTGCTTCTTGGGTGATGTTTCATCACAAGTCCTAAGCTCGCTGCCTCAGCCAAATTGTGGCTGCTTGAAGCAAGGGCAGCTGCGAAGTTCAGACCCAGCCTGCTAGCCTGAACTGCCAAAGACAGCCCAAATGGTAACGGTACTTCTCATGATAGTAACCTTAAGCAATCTAAGAACTCTTTGGCAAGGAGACGGCTCAGCAATCCGGCGCACTGCACAAGCACTCCGAATTGGAGTTGCAACATGATTTGTGATCAATTCTTGTCATACACCGAACGATCCCCCATGGCCTGTCTCCAAGCCAGGCGCCCGGATGCTGAATTCCTTGAGTAAAGATCTTTTCATAAAGATGTTCTCCTCCAGACCAGAAGATCCCGAAACGATGCTTGGCTTTACAGAAAAGCATGCTGTTGATTGCCTGTGGCGGGCACTCGGTTCTTAGGTTCTTGTGCACAAGTCTTTTGAATCTGGGGTAGTTGAACTGCGGCGCCCGTCTATCGCCCGTTTGAAGCAGTGACACGTCGATTGCTTCATTTAGGCCCAAGGGAATCTTAGTCGCCAAGACACATGAAGCATGAGCGCCTTTGCGAAGCGGATGTGCGCAAAGCAGGCCCGACAGCTTCCGATCCCAAGTGGCTTGCACATCGTCGAAACTTTCATCTCGCTGCCGGAGCATGACCGAATGGTGGCCTGCGTTTCCGACATCTTTGCAGCAGCTGGGAGGATGGACGGCATGTTGCAGGGAGAGAAGGCCCACATTCCACAGCCTGGCAGCATTAAATCCCATGCCCACAACCTCCCCGGCGACGAATATTATTTCCCACTGAAGCTTCAAACTGAACCAGCATCGGAAGTTTTGAGCAGCGCGTACTTTCCAAAGTATGGAGATGAAGGGCACGAGCTCATATACTTTTCGAAAGGTTCTCTGCGATCCTTGCCGCACTTTGCGCAGGAATTCATCCAGGACAGAATTTCCAGCCTTAAGTCCATCACTCCATTCATTGCTGTAGAAGGCAAGTGGCGCCTGACTCTGAATCGTTACACACCCAGCAATGGCCTTGCCTGCCAACCAGCAACACGGCCGGGCTTTCCATACCACAAGGATCTACCAGCCAACGGCGACATCACCTTTATTTTGACCCTTCTGGAGACTGGGGAGATGGAGCTGGTCCCGGAGGCTGATCCACAAAGGCCACCCACGCTGATCAAGCTGAAGCCAGGGTCGTTGCTTCTGCTATCAGATGATTCTAGGTGGCGGTGGCTTCACCGAATATGTCCTTCGCAGGCTGGTGTAGGTAGGATGTCCGTGGTTTTTGGCTGGAAGCAGCAGAAGTCATGAGTAGCTTTGTGCGTGGCCGAGCTCAGAAAAAGGCCTAAATGAAACTTGTTTGGTGCTGAAGTGCTGTACCTTCATTCGCACAGCACTCTGTGACGGATCTAGGCTCCTGGGAGTCTAGGAGCACTTGGGTACTTTGCTGAACTGTCATCATCAGGAAGGATTCTGCTTACAAAAGCTAGGAATGGTCTTCATCAGCTAGTTGGATTGCATCGTCATAGTGGTGACCATCAGGTACTCAACATTGCTGCTGAGTACAGACATCTGAAAATCATCTGGCTCATGCTTAGTAGACAATAGGAGAATGGATGTAGTCTCTCTCTCTCTCTGTATATATGACTTCCATGATTGCTTCCCTAACTACACAGGTCCATAATATAGCCCTTCCTGCCAGCTACGGCAGTGCATAAGCAAGTCATTGCATATTTCAGTGCCGCAGCCGTTGGCTGTCAACGCTGCCAAAACATGTTGTCCCAAAACGAAGTGCTTGAACTGTTGGGACCAGTCCTCTCGCGCCGGGGGAAGCCCTACATAAAGGTGAAGCGTGTGTTTTTACGCCCAGCCATTGCCGGTGAGAAGATTGAGACGATCCTTGATGGCAAGGTTGAAACCAAGAATGTGGCAAAAGAAGGAGACATGATTGCAAGGGCGGACACATCCTTCAAAGAGCAGTACATTCTGAAGTCTGAAGACTTCCACAAGAATTACCACACAAGCGAACCCCTAGAGATCAAAGACCATGAGGATGCAGCGGAGCTTGCTGCCCTGGGCTTTAAGGCTTTTCTTCCCAACAGGCGCGTGGTGGCTATTGAGGTAGATGGTGATGTGGCAAGTTGCTTCCCAGAAGGCAAGTTCAAGGCATCGTGGGGAGAGCCTATGATTGTGGAAGTGGGTGACTACCTTGCGAGTGGCCGGACCCTCGATGACGGTACAATTGGAGAAATCATCCGAATCCAGAAGACTGCTTTCCACGAGACCTATGCGCCCGAATGAATCCCTATAGAGCAGAGTTTCCGGTCTGCTTGCTGGAGATGCAGTGTGGCGCCTGGGAGAGCTGAGAAACTTGCCTTTTTAATTGCGGGCCTAGATGCTACCACCCCTACGGGACTGCTACACTTATAATGAGTTTAGGGTTTAGGGTGTCTCGAAGGATGATGGAAAGTCCTCGCTGTTCTAATGATCGTCTCACCAGAATATCGATTGGTTCGCCTTCCTGGCAAAAGCGCATGGTTTGTTAGGGCATCCCAAGCTGTATTCTTTAGGTGGACCCCCCCCACCCTGTCGTCTCCTAAAGTCCCTACTATTGGGTGAGGGGTCCACCGGTCCACCTCATGTTTTCTACTGTACGATAAATCCCATTGAGCTACATGAACCGTAGACTTTCCAGGGTCCATGTAGTCCCCAGGAGAAGGGTTGGGTGGTCGCAGATGTCTTGTCACCTAGCAGTGGGTAGTTGGGATCGATCCCCATAGTAGTCCCTGCTGTATAATCTCCAATCGCCGTCCCTGAACTCAATTCCGCCCTTGGTTGCCTGGACGCCCATAGATGGTGAAATGATGACTGACGGCCCAAAACCCATGCGCATGCAGAATATCATTCTATACTTTGGGGTCCAAGTAGTCATCACCAGTAAACCCTAAACCGTAAGTTTAGCAGTGGCTTTTGCATCCTTTGCTGTCCTGGCTTCAAGGTTTCAACACACTGCGCGGCTTCAGCCACCCTACATCCTAAATGAGGGTGGATGGGTGCTGGATACACTTTCAGGGATGGGTATGGCAAATGCCTTCAGAGGCAGATGAAACACAATTTGGGGCTTCCTAAATCTTGTGAGTACCGTTTCAAGGGTTAATAGGGGTAATGCAGGGATTTGATTTGCGGGTTTCCCGCAATTAGAGGTACCATGTGTTGAACCATTTGGCATTCAATGTGGCATTTCTCTCTATGAAAGAGAAACACTGAGAATTTCGGGTTTTGAAACGGTTCAGGGTTTAGGATTTAGGGTGCCCTCTAAGATCCCGAATGTTGAGCACCATATTTGAGCTAGAATGCCTTCTTTTGCTTGGTCCCCAGAGGCACCCCAGTTCGGGCAAGCATCGGGGTTGCTGTGAGGGATGTTTAACTAAGATACCGTCTGTCAGATATAGATATCTTACAGTAAACATCGTCGTCTTCTTATGATGACAACTTAACCTCACTCTCTTGACAGCAACCCCGATAAGTGCAGTTGCCAGTAATAATATTAATAATGCTAATTAGACGAATATTAATAAGGGTAATAGATTAAAACAGTAGTATTAGTAAGAATAGTAAACCCTAAACCCTAAACTGGCAATAACAGTACGAGTAGCTTTGAAAAGCTTAGTCGCTGGGTAGGTAACCTTTAACCTTTTGGGGTATGCATATTCCTATTATAATACAAAGGTTAACCTTTTGGACCCTAAACCCTAAACTCTAAACCCTGACCAGCAGCTATCAAAGCAATAATACTAGGAACCTCGGCTCAAGACTCATTTTAGCCTGGGTGAAACCGTACCGTCTGCCATGGCGGAATACCGACATGCCCGGTCTTCAGCCTGAATGATGGGGTTTTATAGGGTTTTGGGCTTTGTCATTACTATATGAGCTACTATGAGCTATAGGCTATAGTCTGAACTCCTTACAGGGGGTTGTACAAGGATTTTATGAGGGACCATTATGAGCTTATGAAGGGGGATATTAGAAGTTTAGACTTTTGCTCATATATGCTTTTACAAGTATTACGTACTGTGGTTGCCATGATCATTTCCACTGATACTACCGTTGCAAATATTATTGTTAGTATGAACATTTTCTACTACTAGTGACACTGATAGTATAGGTACTATTTGTGAAGAATGTTGCGTTCTTGAAGTTCAACGGACAGTTGACATGACTTTTGTCTCAGGGGCAGCTTGGCGCAATGCTTAAATTGTTGAGACAGTTGTCTGAAAGTGATAGAGGGACACCCTGCCAGCCGCGTCCATCACAGTTGCCTTGTGATTCGCGCGCCCTCAACTTTCTGCATCCTGGTAGATAGCAGGCTCGAGTGGCATTGTTTAAACAGAGAACTTGAAGCGGGACCAAATCCATCCTCCCTAAATAGTAGCTTCCATATTCTTTTCCATTATCCCTATATAACCCTACATTGCCCTATATAACCCTATATTGCCCTGTATATTTCCAATGTAAAAATCAAATCCCTTCTGGCATCCAACTCCAAGGCTTCTGGGCATTGCTTTGACCATTTGGCTGCTTCGCCCGCGTGGCATTGAAGCATCCAGCCCATCCTGCGATGGTGCCTGTGAAGCTCGGCGGGCTGAAGCTTCGGGACGTGCAGTTGCACGTTCTCTCTTGGCAGTAAAAGCAGAGACTCACTCCGTCCCAATGGACATGACGGAAGGTGTTAGCAATGACACAAATGTCACCAACGCCAGTGCTTTGGAGAATCTCTTCGTGAACAACATGAAGCATGACTTGCATCAGGCCGCAGGCTTTCCTGACTTGGACAACACCACCAATGACACGGAGGGCCGTCACGGCCTAGGGCAGTTGGGTGCAAACTTGGAGTTCATGATGCTGAAGTTGGCGCAGCTAGAGACGGTTGTTGAGCTGCAGCAGATTGAAATCCACAAGTTGAACAAGTGGAAGAACAGCCACATGGCTGGAGAGCACAACAGCCCTCAGCCAAGCTCAGCCATGAACCAGCAGAACAAGCTCCAAGCTGAACAGGTTCTGAAGAAGGTTCTACAAAAGCAGAACCACCAGCGCATGAAGCGTGAGTTCGTGGTTCCCTCTTCACAAGGTACCCAAACCCAAAAGGAGGTCAAGCAAGCCAAGGCAGTGGAGAACAAGACTCAACTGCTGCAGCGGAGAGCCTCCAAGTCAGTCTCCGAAAAGTCCTTGGATAATTCCGTCAGCACCAAGGTTTTGGAGGACATCGGAGATGTGGTAACAGATGGCACAGGTTTGATGGGAGACGCCTTGGGTGACGCCTACGAGGCTGCGGAGGATCAAGTGGCCTTTGTGGCAAATACCGCTATCGACTCAGTTGAGATGGCTGTTGACATCCTCGTTCCTGGGTTGCTGTTAGGGAACTTAAGTTAAGCTAGCATATTAATCCCCCTATAATGGTATGATGTACTATATATATACACCCATTAATTATTGTAACTTGAATTTAATTCCTTAAGCCGAAAACCCTAAACCCTAAAACCCTGAAAACCTTAACCCTGCACCCTAAACCCTTAATTCCCCAACAGCAACCCAGGTTCGTGGTTTCAGTGACTGGACTGCAGGTTGCAGCGAGACTGGGTTGCTGTTAAGGACCTTAATTTGAGTTACTATATTGGGGGAACCCTATCTAATACTTATATGAAAATACTCTTTATGGTGATATTTACCATATATATATATATGTATATATATATATGCCCTTTATGGTAACGTAATTTAAGTTCCTTAAGAGCAACCCAGGAGAGCAGGTGGCCTTCCCTGAGTGTGGGCTCCGACGGCCTAAGCGTTGACTGGGGTCGACAAAAGTGCTGGGTGCGACTGATGGGGGAGACGTGCAACCTTTTCGACTTCAATTTCGGCACCGAAGATGTTTCTTGGCCCGGTACCTTGGGCGAGGTGGCGAAAGTAAGCTTGGCCCAAGTGAAGTCTGTCCTGGACATTGGCCTCCAGCTTGCAGACTGTCCTGCCCTGGACCAGCCTGAAGAGGTCGTCAAATGCCTTGGCTTCAAGATCATAGGCCTTGTCCCTCCCTTCAACTTCCTGAACAGGATGGGAAATATGCTGACGGAGTTCATTGAAGTATTTGCTTTGGTGGCTGCTACGGTGGTTCGTCAGGTCTTAGAAGATGGCCAATCTTTGGTTCAGCAGGCTGTGGTGTCCAAGTTTCCCTCCGCCGGCGCGCCTGCAGTGCTGCACCATGCAGGCAAGAACCTCAGGATCAAGACGCACTCCCAGCACCCCAAAGGACGACAAGCAGACCGACCAAGGTCCACGCTGCAGCGCGGGGAGCCTCCCGGCGAGAGCTTGCTGCAGCGGGGCGATGGTGAAGGCGAATCCAATGGACAGGGCTCCATTAACTTTGAGGTCCATGACCAGGAGGGCAACTATGCCACCAAGCTAATCACGCAGTCCTTGGGTTGCACCAAATTTGTTCATTTTCGTAGTGTGGACCTCAGAACTCTGCCAAAAGTGTTGACCATAGCGCAGTAGAGGGGTTATAGGGTGATATAGGGATTGTGGTATATCTGGGGTTATATTAAGGGATAATGGGAAAGAAGATGGAACTACTATAGGTTCAACGGCAAAGAGACGGACACCAGCTCGTGCCTGGCCTTTGCCCCAAAAAACAAGCACGGCAGCCAGAACCAGGCCAGGTAGGAAAGACTCAATCCGTAAAGTAATGCTTATAACAACCTTATCTTGTTTTTCTCTTAGGCTGGGGAGC